ATTCTGTGATTCTCTGACAGATTTCTTTTCTTTTAAAAATATATTTCTTTACTGATTTCAGAGAGGAAAGGAGGAGATAGAAACATCAACGAAGGGAGAGAATCATTGATTGGCTGCCTCCTGCACGACTCTCACTGGGGAATGAGCTCGCAACCCAGGCATGTGCCCTTGGCGGGAATCAAACCTGGAACCCTTGAGTCGGCAGGCTGAAGCTCTATCCACTGAGCCAAGCCAGCCAGGACAAGATTTCTTTTCTTCCAATCCACAGCTTACAATGCCTTTCCTTCACCTTTGTTGGGATTCTCCTCAAGCACCCCATGTGTTGTCTTCCTTTCCCTATTCTCCTTTGCTGTGCTTTGTTTTAGTTAAGTGTTAATGTCACTTGAGGAAGTGAATGCTTTGGAGGCCAGAGCCCTCAAAGAACTGCACTCCCTGAAGGCAGGGTCTGTAGCACCAGACCCAGCTCCTTAAATGTTACAGGTGCTTTGCAGGAACTGGTGGACTTAGACATAAAACTGGTTCCCTTGTGGAACTGTGAACTCCCAAACGAAAGGGCCATAGCTCTTGTCTTTTCCTGCATCTGGTTTGGGACTATGTCTTCGTTCATTTGCCAAAAGATGTATATTTCAAGTTTGAGGCTCAAACTTCCTTTCTACTCTCTGGCTCTCCTAATCACCAAGTGAAGTTATTGAAGGGTTCTTAGCAGAGAAATCACATGATTTATTCCATTATTTATTTAACACTTGAAGAGGCAAGGGCAGGAGTGGAGAGGCAAGTTAGGAGGCTCCTACAATAATCTAGGCAAGACATAATGATGGGTTAGGCCCGGGTGGTAATGGTGGGGGTGCTAAAAAGTGGTTGGATTTGGATGTATTTTAAAGGCAGAGCTGGTTGTACTGGCAGAGGCATCAGGAAGGATCCTAAAAGTTTGGCCTGAATAATTAAATTAGAAGGATAGATTATCTGTGAACTGAGATGGGGAAGACTGAGGAATAGGTTTGAGGAATAAAATCTGGTTGAATTTTGGACATAGAGATATCAGTTAGATATACAAGTGGAAATGTTGAGGAGGCATGTGAGCCTAGAATTACAGGAGAGATCTGAGCTAAGTAACCATAAGGAGTCTTTACCATATAGAGGGAATTTAAAGTCCTGAGGTCAAATGGGGTCACCTACAAAATAAGTGTAAATAGAGAAGTTTAACAACTATGCTCTGGGTCACCGTTCTATTAACAAGTAGGGGAAATGAGGGAGAACCAGCACAGGCCAAGCAGAAGCAGCCAATGAGAGAGGAGGAGAACCAAGAGAAATAAAGTGAAGAAGGTGTTTAAAGGAGAGAGATCAACTATGTCTCTTGCTGCTGAGAGGTTAAATAAACTAGGCACTCAGACTGGATAACTGACTTAGGAATATGGAGGTTTTTATTTTATTTTATTTTGGCAGCTTTGAAGAGGCCCTCCCACTCTTGGTAAAGTGGGGATAAAAGTTTGATTACAGTGCGAGATCACATTGGCTGCAGTATGGGGAGTGAACAGTGCTGGGAAAGCGTGGATATGAGTGATTGGTTAGAAATAGTCATGGGCGAGATGACTGGGACTAGATAAAGAATTGATGAGAAGTGGATTAAAAAGATATGCAGGAGTTGGCATTAACAGGCCTTGGTAAGAGATTGGCTGAGAACCCAGGGATAGAGTTGGAAGAGGGAAAGATAACACCCATGCTCTGAGTTACCGAAGACAAGTGCAGGCGGTAGAGGGGGTATGCAAAGGAACGTGACAGGCTCTTGTTGTGGATATAGTGACTGTTTGTAACATCAAAGAAGACATTTAAGATACAGTTGGATCCACGTGTATCTGCAGCACCGGCGAGAAGTCTAGACTGAAGATAGGAATTTGAGAGTCATCAAACTATAAATAACAACTGAAAGAATTGAAGAGGTTTAGATTTTCCTAAATAAATTCCTACAAGAGCAAAAGACATGTCTGGATAAAACAACATGCATATTACTTTTATACTCTTTCCTCCCCTTTTAGGGAAGTTAATAAAACTAGTTTGCTCATAGTGACTAAGCAAACAGAGCCAGAAGTAACTTTAAATAAAACCAGAAAGCTGTTCCCTAAAGAGGTACTTCATCACTGGAGGGAAGAGAAAGCTGAGGCAGCTGAACTTGACAAGATTCACAAGCAATGTGAAACCTGCTAAACCTGCCATCCTTCTCTCTCCTTTTTAAAATGTATTTTATTCATTTCAGAGAGGAAGGGAGAGAGATAGAAACATAAATGATGAGAAAGAACCGTTGATTCGTTGCCTCCTGCACGACCCCTACTAGGGATCGAGCCCATAACCAGGCATGTGACTTGACCTGGAATCAAACCATGATATCCTGGTTCATAGGTTGATGCTCAACCATGGAGCCACACCAGCAGGGCTCCTACCTTCCCTTCTTGAAGAGGAAACAATTATAAGATGAAACTGACATGAGGAAGGCGAGCCAACCTGTGTGGCATGTGGTATTCTACAGGACAACCACCCTGTGAGGCCTGATAACCCCATCTGGCAGATAAGAAAACAGACTCAGGAAGATCAGGAGCCTTGGTTAATGTCACAGAAAGACCTGTATCCACTATACGTGGAGTAGGGAGGGGGAAAGCCTGCTCCACAAATTCTTGAAGTAGAGACAGTCTGGAGCAGCGGTCACCAACCTTTTGGACCTCACGGACCACCAGTGGTCAGTGGACCACCGGTTGTTGACCACTGGTCTGGAGGGTTTCAATGTGGAGTGAAGGATTAGGTCCTCCCTTAGATCTTATGGTGAAGCCAGAACAATTGAGCCAGCACTTACAAGCTCTCTTTTTGAGGATGAGTCACTTGCCCTGGTCCTGAACTTGGTCAGCTACAACACAGCCAGCCCAAGACACTGGCTGATAAGAGCCCAGGAGCCTCTCAAATCCTCTTCTTCTACCTTCAGGCCACAGCTGGCCTTAGGAGGAGGCAGAATAGATGGAATTCTCAAATGGAGGTATAGGATAGGGCTCCTGTTCTCCCCTCCTTATCTCTCACTTTGAGCTGTTGGTTGTGCCTATTTTCTCTCCCTCTTCTGCATCTTCCTCTTCTTCCTTTCTCTATTGGATCATTGCATTAGCATACAGAAAGTTCTAGCTGGTCCCATATTTGAAACACAAAACCAAAACCCTCCCCTTGAATTCATAGCAACTTCAGTCCCTATGCCGTTTCTCTGCTCCATATGCACAGCCAAATTCACAGGAGGAGTTAGTGTCTCCATGTTGACAACCTTCAATTATTTTTAAACTTTTAATTAATATGATTTTGAGATTTCAGCATGTAATGCATAAAAAATACATGTAACACATGTAAATTATGAACATAATAAAAATTAACATCAGTAAATTCACAAAAACAAACCTAAGAATTAAAACATTAATAATGTTGAATAGACCTATGTGCTCCCCCTTCCTAGCCTTACCCCCTCTCCACAACTATGAACATTGTAGTCAAACTATTGAAAACCAAGAAAAAACCTTAGCAGCCACGTTACATTTAACAATAAGAATGATGATTGTTGGAAACTGGAAATCAGTAGTGTAGACAATTATAATTCTAAAAGAAACAAAATTCAAGTTGTTCTACGTCCAGTGGGGGAAAAAGCCTTTAAAAAAATGAAGGCAAAATAAACATATTTTCAGACAACTGAAACTGAGAACATCAGTTATCTGTAGGTCTGCACTACATGAAATTCTAAAGGAATTTCCTTTACAATGTATGAATTCCCTTCATACTGAAGGAAAAGGACCTAGACTGACATCAGGATGTGAAGAATGAAAGAAACCTAAGAAATAAGTATGGGGTAAATATAAAATACTGTTTTATGTCTTAAAATTTTCAGAGTAAATCCACTTTTAAGTCCAGAGATCCCAAGCTGAGATGATTATGGTGCCCTTGTCCAAATGTAATTCACAATTAAGTCTAAAATAAATCATACACATAAAGAAGGTAATAAGTTCCGATTTATCCCATGGTGACTATTTCAATGTTTTTAAAAAATATATGTAATTCTTAAAATTCCTCCCCTCTCCTCAATCCTTTAATTTTTGGTGCCTCTACTTATTGTGAATTAAACACATACTTGATCCCTAGGCATCTAGCCAAGAGCATGACTCAGAAAATGCAGTTACTACCTGCATCAGGTAGTGAGAGAGGCCGTGATCAGTGAGGAAGACCAACCTCTTGAGGTTTCCCGGATTGTGGGACTTTCAGTGTTGAAAATGGGACAGTTTTGGGTGTGAACTGTGAATGGTTACTCTAACTAGGACCCTGAAATGAAGTCTTGAGGACAAAGCTGACCCTGAGATCAGCAGACAAATATTTTGTGAGCACGAAAGAAGAGACTGGAGCACTAGCTAGTTTGAGCGTTGGCCTGCGGACTGAAGGGTTGCAGATTTGATTCTGATAGGTTTCAGGTTCAATACCTGGCCCCAGTAGGGGTGCACGCAGGAGGCAACCAGTCAAGTATCTCTCTCACATCGATGTTTCTCTCTCTCTCCTTCCCTTCCATTCTCTCTGAAAAATCAATGGGATAAATATCCTTGGGTAACAACAACAACAACAACAAAAACAACAACACGACTTGTTCTTTAACTGAAGTGAAAATTCTTTCTCCCTCTCCCATATTTTTATCTTATGTTTAATAGATCAAAGACAGTATGTCCCCTTGGGAGTTGGCACATTATGAAGGCGAAAACACAAGGGCAGGAACATAAGTTCTGTTTGGAAGGTGAGGCATAACAGCTTAAGTGGCTCACAGACCTCCCTTCCTCTAAGGGGCATGACTTACACTTCACCCACTTGGCTGATAGGGGGAGAGGGAAAGGAAACAAACAGTGTCTGTTCCTTTCCTCCAGGGTAATTCTTGCAATCAGGGAAGAACTTTATTAGCCTGGTGTTATTTATAAGGAACCTGAGACTTGGAAACTTAGCTTCCTGGATGTTTTGCTCACAAGCTTGTGCTTGTTGCTTAGACGTAGTCCCATGACCCTCAAGTGAATGCTGATGGGTATGTACAGGACATGCAAGGAAGATGCAGAGAGGAAAGAGAGGGCTGGTGACCACAACTGGACTAGGAACAAAGGCCCCCAAAATTCAGAGTTCCTGGGACTGTTCCCCGAGAGAGAGGATGTACAAATCTGATAAAAACTGAGGTGTGTGGGAACTTAGGTTGATCTATGTACCAAATCATTGAGATGTCCTGAAAATGGTGCTGGGGAAGTTGAGGGAGAGGGAGAGAAGGAAAACCAGAAAAAGGACCAGATATCTAAAAGTTTCTCTTTAGAACTATACCCTCATGCTCTTAGGATATTTCTGCACTGACCCCATCTGTCATCAAAGTAGGCTCTGGAAAAGCATAAAAATATTTAAATATTAATTGCAACATGAAGTCTACTTAAAAGAAGGCAATTTGACTAGAAAAATATACCATAAGACAAGTGTCACGATTTTAAAGTGGTGTAATGAAAAGCAGAGTTTGGAGGCATATATTTATTATTTCATAGCCAGATTCCTGTGACTTACTAGTTGAGCGACTCTGAGCAAGTGACTGAATCTTTATGCGACTCTATAAAACAGAAATAATACCTTATAAGTTGGCATGGGAAGCTCCGAGCCTCAATTTTCTCATTTTTAAAATGGGAATAACAGTACCCACCCTCATTGGACCATTGTTAAGAGTTTATATATGTAAAATACTTAGAATAATGTTTAATGCATAGTATTAAATAGGGGTTAGTTATAAAGCTAATGTATTTTGCTAATAAATTTGCTAATAAATATATAATAAAGCTAATATATTTTGCCCATAGTGCATGTATTATTCTCTGAAATTATCTTGGTTTTTTTTTAAGTTCACAAGGCAGGTGCTTTGTGCTTAGTTTACCCCATGATTGAGAATAGTACCCGGCACGCAGTTGTACTTCACGGCACCTTTCTCCACATCACTGCAATTACTCTTTCAAGGTCACCAATGACCATCACGCTGCCAAATCTGAAAGACAACCCATTCTCCACTCAGCACCTTGGATGAGTCCTTTATAATTGAATTAACTCATACTCTTCTGTTTAATACACTTAGATGGATAGCCTTGCCTTTAGATTAAATCAGAAGTCCTTTCCACGATTTACATGTCCTTTATGATCTGGCCCTTCGACCTCTTATGTCAGTGTCTACATTTCAGTGCCACCAGCTCTGAGTCAGTTCCCAGATCTCGCTGTGCTCTTTCAGCCTGAGGGCCTTTGCATTTGTTGTGTTCTCTGCCTGGTATACGCTCTCCAAGCTGCTTACATAGCTCCTCCTCCATATTGTACAGTAAGTAGTTAGGAACACAGTTTTTGAAATCAAACTGACTGGTTTCCAGTTCAGGCTGTTCCACTTACTACCTGTGTGAGGCAAGTTACTTAACCTCTGTGTACCTCAATTTCCTTACCTTAAAGAAGGGGGGGGAAATTATGTTCCTCCTTATGTTGCTGAAGAATGCCAGTTAATATAAAGTGCTTGGAACTGTGCCTGGTACCAGGCAGGCACCACATTGATCATCTTTCAGCTGAAATACGGACTCTTCAGAGACCCTGTTTTTAATCAGAGCACCCTGTACTCATCACAATCTGTAAATATTTTGTGTTTACTCTTTGTGCTCCATGAAGACTGGGAAGTTGTCTTATTTACTATTGTATGCTCAGCACCAGCACAATGCTTGATAATAAATATATACTGAATGATTAGAAGTTATTTTTATTGCCACCCTCAAGGAAGGTCAGGTGCTGTGCCAAGGTGGAAAAGACAAGAGCTGGGATTGTACCAATGTTCCAACCACCTAACTCAGCTGAGTGGTGAATAGCTATGCGGTGTTCCATAAACAAATAGGCATGCCACTAGTATTCTCTTCATCCAGGCCTTACTCAGTTGGGTCTCCTAAGGTTGCACCTCCTGTAGGAAGCTCCCTCTGCACACACACCCCGTGGCTTCGCTGGAGCTCCCAGGGCAACAGGTATGCATTTCTTAGCGGAGTCCTGCTTTTATGCTTCTGCACTGTTTCTTCTACACCATCTCAGCTGATGATGTCCTGCCCTTAACACTTTTTGCTCTTCAATTTTCCTGAGCTCCTTGCCCAATGTGGGGCCCACAGAATATGTTCAGTAGAAGCGTGGAGAGTGACCCCTGCCAACTGCCTTTTTGGGAAGGTGGCCCAGGGTAGCTCTGCATTGTGTATACTTTCATGGACGAAATGACGACTCTACAGGAGAAAAAGTTCTCTTACCTGATCTGTGGTGGCTGGTGGTGGCAAAGCTGTAGAGAATGAGAGCATCCGCAGGGAGGCCTCCAACTGCTTGGGAGGCAAAAAAAAATTGGGCACCACAATGGGCTCTGGGCTATCACGGTAGTTAAGGGACACACACACCTAGAAATCCTCCCACCTGCCAGACCAGCAAAGTCACTGGTCTCAATTTTCCTTTCACCCCCTCCTACCTCCGCCCCCAAGCCCATGAATCCTCTGCTCATGGTTCCCTCTGCCTGGAAGGCCCTCCCACTCCTAACAAACCATAGTCTATGCTTTCTTTATGGGCCATTTAAATCCCACCCCCTCTGGGAAGTTTTCTCCTGATCTTAGCCCACAGTGACTCCTCATTCTAGAGCAGAGTTTGCAAAACAGGATAACGCTTGATTTAGTGTGATATGAATCTCAATGTGTTTTTCGCAAAATCCCCCCAAACTTCTCCAAGGCAAAGATGGCATAGTTTCCATCAGTGACCTCACTGCTTCCCTAGAGCGCGTATGAGACTGGTAGGCAACAAGAGTTAATGATGCTTGTTGAGGGCCTGCTGGCCAAACCGAGCTGTTAGAAATTAGTGGGACAAGGTGGCTCCAAGAGACAGTGTCTTACAGACTGGAGGAAGATGCCTAGTAAAAAAGGAGGGTCCCCCTGGTTCTTTTCTGCTTATACACAGAAATGAGGGTTCTGCCTAAGTGGGCACAGCTGATCTGTCCAGTCTGGATGTAAGCCCTTGAAGGCAGATACTGGATCTTGTACTTCTCCTTTGTATACCCTGCAGATATGCAGAACTGTGATGGGAATATTTGTTCAAAGCACTTATTCAGTTGGGAGGGGAGGGATGGGGCCATTTTGAAGTTTAATTTTTTGTTTTTGCTCAATAAGCTAAGTATGATTCTAATTCAAATTGGTTTATCATTGTTTTTCCATGCTGGACTTTGAACTCCAAGAGGGCATAGATGATCTCTTTCATAGCCACATTCCTGTCACCTGGCATATAGTACCTGGAACACAGTAAGTGTTCAATAAATATCCACCAAATGAATGAAATGCAGCATTTCCTGCTTCGGTTCAAGTCCCTGACTCTTCTTCAGAGGCCCTGGTGAGAAGGGCTTATGCTCTTGCCGCTCTGACTGCTGGTGACTCTGCTGGACAGTCAGCTGAAGCTGTGGGGGAGGAACGCTTTGCTGTGAGGTCTCAGGAGTGTGAAACACCGAAGTTCCCCTCTTCTCCCATCACCTCCTGCCTAAGGGTCCTGCTCCTACAGTAATTTCTGTCAATTACTAGATGATTAACTTCAGGAAAGTTCATTTTAATGCGTGTTTCTTCACCAGTAAAATGGATATACTAATAGTACCTTTTGTTTTTTTTGAGAATTAAGAGTTTATACATGCAAAATGCTGAGCAGCATTCAATGCTGGCTATTCTTTTCTCCCTGGTTAATGGGAAAAAGTTGCTTTTTCTCACTGCCCTTACCACTGGTTCCCTCACCCACTGAAAACCGTTTTGCATTCTCCATTTTGCACTGTCCTTAATGCTACAGCCAGTGAATACAGATCAGTCTATCTACTGGGCCTGTCAAGTGTCAGTGTTGATCACTAATTCTTGAAACTCTGCTCCCATACCATCTCTCTCCTGCTGCTCCACCCCTGACCAGCTCTTCTCTGTGCGTATCTGTTCTGCCCACCCTTCACATCAGGACTGTCTTGTGTGGTTCTACCATTCCATGTTCTCCCTGCTTTGCTAATCTATTTCCACAACCTACCTTTATAGCTGATCTCATCCTGAACTCCAGGACTAATTAAATGTCTTATAGGCACAGGTCCAAAACGGAAATCTGTCTTTCCTAGAAACCGTTTATCTCTGTGTGGTTCCCTATCCATAAATGACACCATTATTTAGTAACTTGTGATAGAACTATCTAAGTCATAGATATTTATTACACTTGATGTTTTCCTCTTTGTCACCCTTTGTCCTTCCTATCTAACTAATCCTCTCAAATCTATCCCTCTCCTTTTCAACATCATTGATGTTTCTCTCCCCCACTCCCTTCCTCCCTCTGAAATAAAAAGAAAAAACATATTAAGACAAATAAAGCAGTCTATGCTTTTGGTCAAACTTTCTTCTGGTCTCCTCTGATCTAATCCTCTCTTTACAGGGAACTGGGTGAGGTATGTAAATTTGACCATATCATACTCTTGCTTGCCAGTTAACATTTACTAAACACTATTTATGTACCAGGCACTGTACTTGGTAGTTTATATCATTATTTTAATTTTTACAAGCACCTCAGGAAAAGGTCTATTATTTCCATTTTAAAGATAAGGAAACTGAAGTTTAAATTGCTTGCAGGATAGCAACTTAGCCAGGCATACAAGGGCCTTGAAGATCCAGCTCTACCTCACCTCTCACCATGTGTTTACATGTGGGCTCTAAGCACAGTGAACTGCTGCTGCCCAGAAGCCAGGCGCTTTCACTTGGCTATGCCCCTGCACACACAATCCACTTTCTCATCTCTGTCGACAGAATGTCCATTCATCTTTGAGGTCCAGCTCCAATGTCTCTTACAAGAGGGGCCTGCCCTCTGCACCTCATCAGGATGAAGGCTAATGATCTCACTTGAGTCTGACACAAAAGCAGTTATGGCAGCTTCCCCCTCTTGTTCCCCATGTACCATCACAGCACTTAGAACACTAACTGTCATGGTCTGTTTACTGTTATTGTCATTACGTCATAATGGGAATTTCTTGAGGTAAAGTCTGATTAAAATCTCTGTTCCCAGTACACAGAACAGGGTCTGGCAATACTTGTTTTTTTGAAAGAATAGTTAGGCAAGGTCTGAATTAGGACCTGTGATGCTCCTCCATTGATCATAAATTCTGAGCACTGTAAAGGCAGCAGTGAGGGAGTCCAGGAAAGAACCCCACCAGAGAGTTGGCTGTCAGTACTCAGCTTCCAGTCATTAAAGCCAACTGGTTAGGCTGCACATGTGAGGGGTGTTGATGGTCCTAAGTGATTTCCTTTCTCCATAATGTGACAACTGCATTTTAAAAGAGAAAGAAGGTGACCCTTCTCCCCATCAACACTGCCATTTCAACTATGCCTACTTCCCCTCCTCTTGGCTCCATCACTTGCCTTTAAAAAACATTAGGCAAATCATTATAACTCTGAGCCTCAGTTTTCTTACATGCAAAATAGAAATGATAATACCTACCTTAAAGACTTGAGATGATTGAGTAAAAAATGTTTGTCAAATGCCTGGCACAAAGTAAATGCTGTCAGTGGTAGTACTCTTCTATCCCGATTGCACCCTCCACTTCTATTTCAACTGAGATTAAAGGATCTCATTCCTAGACCAGCAGTAAAATACCCAATACAATAATTAGGCCAGGGGAGGCTAATAAATGTGCTCCCAACACCTAAACCCAGTTAAAAGCCTGCACTTCAGAGGGCTGGTGTTAAGGGGAGAATTGGAGCACCTTGTCAGTGCAGGTGAGACTTCTGAAGGGTCTTCCCAGGCCCCCTAATGAATCCCATGAAGGTGGCATCCGCTGTTCATGCCCACTAGGCTGGCCTAAGCACCAGCATCCAAAATGCCTACATTTGGCTACTTGTGGAAAACTTCAAAGGATACAGGAGATTCTGCTTTGTGGAAGCCTCTGATCCAGATGCTGCCTGCTTCTGCCTGATGTCAGGGCAGTTGATGGGTAGCCCCTTATGCTTTTCCCTTTTGTTCCGGGAGGCTAGGTGTAGAGGGAATTTATCCAAGCTATCAGCAGAGTCACTTAGCTCACTGGAGGCAGCTTCATCCTTAGCCAGGGCCTTTGGCTTAGGCTCCTGGTCCTGATCTACCCTTGGTGAGCAAGTGTTGTTCTTTAGGGCTCTTGAGAGTGTCACACCTGGGATGAGCTGAGGGTCTGCTGAGGCAGGCTCTCCACCACAGGTCTTAGGGCTCTTACGCTCACAAGGAACAAGACTTTGGCTAGCAGAACCCTGCCTAGGCAGGTGGGAGTTGACAGTTCTTTCTGGACTGGACAGAAAGCTACTTCTGACCCTGAGCTCCTCTCTAAGGCAGGGCTCGGGAGAGGGACAAGAGGGGCCTACCCTCTGCACCTCATCAGGATGAAGGCTAATGCTCTCACTTGAGTCTGACAAAAAACTGGACCAAGGGCTAGTTTTGTCTGTTATGGTGGTGATCTCATTGAGTGTCCTGGGCTCAATGATGTTTTCTTCATAGTCTTCATCACTGAAGGCTGGGCCTGCCTCAGTGTCCTCATTGCTCTGCATCCTTGTAATGGGTATTGTGTGTCCAAGGGACTCATGGAGCATTACTCTTCCACTCAAAGACTCTTCTGGAGTATGCGGTGGAGAGGAGTCTGCACCCTCATCTGGAGCTCTTGCCAAGGGCAGGTCTGGAACTGTGCTTTGTTCTTGCATGGCTCCTGTGTTCTGAGCATCTGGGAGAGTGGTAACTTCTCTGCTTCTACTCCTGGCTTGGTGAGAACTCAAAGATGCTTGAGAATTCCTGGTGATAGTCTGCAGATCTGAACAGCAACAGATATCATTCTTACTACAAGGTAGGGTCACAGACACTCAACTTCCCCACATTATTAGCCTCTAGCTTCAGAATTATTTTTGAAAAAAAAAAAAAAAGAACAAAAGGAAAAAGAAGTATTCTTGCAATCAAGCTTTGAACAAATCTTAAAGATAGTTAATCC